TTCCCCGGCTCAAAATATTATTCAAATGATTCCCCGTCGGATTTTCGGACCTACACGCCAACAACGCGAAAAAATACAGAAAATAGAGGAATAAAAGAAAATAATTGAAATAATATATACACGACACGAAATAAATAAAAAACACTCAATACAACATTAATCGAACAAATAATAAAATCAACAACACAAAATATAAGAAAAAGAATGACAAAATAATAATAAAAATCACGACAAAAACAGTACAAACAAAGATATAAATGGTATTCACAACTGAGATAGTTATGGACAAGACTATCGGTGTAGGTTGTAGTATAAACTGGATGTAGCTTGTCTTGGCTATTGGTTTATACTAGTGCGCTGCATCGCATTGAATGGATCACAGTTGAGACGTGTTCTTCAGTTCTGACCATCATGAAGAACCTAGGTCTCGGTGACTCTACTAATTCTTAACCCTAATTGTGATACTTAGATATGTGGGATATTTGTTTGTTACTTTGATTTACCATGGGTGAGAGCCAAATATTGGTTCAATATGCTCTGTATCTTGGGTAACAACATTATCTGCATGATATCTATTTATTGGCATTAGGGCACCGTGTCCTGGACATCCAGGTTGATGACGTCCCCTTAAGGAACTCATAAGGATTATTGTATAAACCCTGCAGGTGGATTTAATCCGTACGATAACAAGGTTCAGTGGTACTACTTAAGAATAAAAGATATTAATTAATTAAAGCAGTTAGAAGCTTTAATAATTAATGGACGTGCGATATCTTAAACATGGGGAATTATATCGAGTCTAATAGAAGCCCTGATTCATTTCGGGATAGGACGGGAGTGCAATATTAATTCTCTAGTGGAATGAATTAATATTTACGGGCCAAATTGTGTTTTGGGCTGAACATAAGTATTTGGGCTTGTAAGGAGCCCAAACCCTATACCTTCTAAGAGATCCCTAGTCTGGCCCAAGGACCTCTATAAAAGGAGGGGACCTCCCACGTTTTAAACCCTAGAAATTTTGAGAGATACTCTAGCCACCATTGTGGAGAGAGTAACGAGAAGGGTGAGAGAAAGACGAGGGCAATCCACTCCTTTCAACCGTTTGGAGGATCGTCGTCCATCCGGCGTCCAAACGTGGTCGGGACACAGACTAGAAGATCGCTCAGATCGAATCAAAGCCTTGAAGAAAGGTACATCTCTGTTCGTCCATTAAAGGCATGCTTAGGTTTATTCGAAATCATGTATGTACATGTTTTGGTATCCGATATCGATCTGTGGGAAGGACCGCCTCGTCGGCATGTTCCAGCAGAGCCACCTCGTGCCTTGCATGCGAAGCACTTGACGCTCGGCCAAGTTATGTCATAAAGTCAAGGACACATGGAGGGCTGAGGGCTATTGAGAGCATGACTAAGCTAGCCAATTGATGACTAAGCCGTGAAGAGCCACCTCGTGCCTTGCATGCGAAGCACTTGGCGCTCGACCATTGGCCGAGCCTTCATCCCCATCTTTCTCTCATTTTCATCGTGTTTTAAGTCAGCAAAGGGGGATGAGAGAACAACTTATCACTCAAGCTAAAAGTTCAGTACCTCTTAAGTGAACATTAGCCCTAATCACACACGCACGTGCATAAGCTCGGAGATGAGAAATTATGGCCGTTCATAGAAATTCTCCGAACACTTGATAAGGTAACCTCATGTTCAGCATCCTTTCATATTAATAAGCTTATGTTTAAGTCAGTTCAGTCAGCTCATGTCGAGAAATTCATGTAAATGTCATGTTAGGTTCGGTTTAAGCCAATTTAGGCTATGACCGAGTAAGTTCAAGTTGTATCCGGCAACTCATGTGCAATTCATGTTTATTTCATCATGTTATTTCCTCATGTGTTCAGTATAAAAAGATAGGTCGAGACAAGTTGAAGTTTAGACCATGTTTTGGCCTAAGGAAGTTGGCAGCGCATGTAGCGCAAGGTCACGGGGTCATTTTATGCCCTATCATGTTATCTTTCAGTACAATCATGTTTGTTCGAGTAAGTCAAGTATAGTTGATCATTATATGTTATTTTATGTTCATTCAAGCCTTGATGGTCGAAGGGAATTGATGTTTGGCCGAGGACTGGCCTTAGGCCGATTGTAGCGCACATAGCGCACACTACGGCATGTTATCGAACAAAGTACATGGTTCTTGAGTAAGTTCAGTACCTGTGATCATGTGAGATCATGTCATGTTGATTCATGTTGAAGTTGCCGGAGGAAGTCGCCAAACGGCCGGCAAGGGCCGGTCGTGGCCATGCTGTCCGCACACAGCGGCAGCAGCGGGCTGGCAGCACCCCAGCACCGCCAGCCAGCAGC